TTTCGCTATCCGTCATCTGCCATCCGTTAACCGCTATCTGCTATCGCTATTTGCTATTCGTTAAATTTTAACCACTGTACTAAACAGGCCTTAAGTAAAACTAAGGATTTTAAAGATGAATATATTTTTTCACTTAATTAATTATAAATTTTGTAGAAAATTAGTTAGTTTTCTATTCATGATTCATAATGAAGTTCAAATTAAAATAATAATAATAATAGCATAAATCTAAATCTAATTTAATCAAAGATTTTTATTTATAACTTTCTCCGCTGATATATAGAATACATCTTTAGCTTTTTTTTATTAATCATTCAAATTCATTTTAGCATATAAAAATTAAGAAAATCAACAAATACATAAAGTCTAGATTGAGAACGGCAGAAAATGACTACAGTATATGCTTTGCTCACTCCATTTAAAGCAAGTTATTATAAATTATATTAAATAATTTTTTAATATTAATATTTATCTACTAATATTTGTTATATATATTAAGAAATGTAAATAAATAATCTTTTTAAATTATCAATTCTAATTTTTAAATGAAAGAAATACTTTTTTTACATCGTACACTGACAAAGGCAAAAACTTCCTCCTCAGATTCAAATTATTAGTTAAAGTGATGTTAATAATGTGATTGTAATCGAATTTGACTACGTGGAACAAGTGGTTTTGATCATTTTTATAAGGTTTATGTCTCCTCTTAACGACAATTATTCGAGTTGATCCGTGATAAAATATTTTTTTTAAAAAAATAATGTAATTATAATCTTTAATTTTTTTTTTTTGAACATTGATTGTAATCTTTAATTACTCCATCTAATTTCAAAATAAGGAACAAAAGAGGAGCCGAAAAGTAAATTTGAAAATTACATCCACTCAATATTACATTCTATGTTCATTTATTTTTTTTATGGAATAAATTCGATTATTAGTACATCTCAATTTGGAACACGTTGGAACACTCTATATATACTCTTCTCGAGTACCCCATTACGCCAAACAAAGATATATGGGGTTCTTCACAATGCTCTGGGCAACACTATGCCTCCCATTCTTGTTCCTCTGTCTTAAAACAGCCTTCTCATCCTCTTTACATGCTTCTTCCTTCTCAACAACACATCTCTGCTCTCAGGAGGAGGCTGCTGCTTTGTTGCAATTCAAGACTTCCTTTTCCATCAATTCAACTGTTTATAATCCTTCTTTATGTGAGATTGTTTATGATATTAAAGCAAATTATTCTAAGACTGAGTCTTGGAAGGAAGGTATCGACTGCTGTTCCTGGGATGGGGTTAGCTGTGATAATGTCACAGGTCATGTAATCAACCTTGATCTCAGCTGCAATCTCCTTTCTGGTACCTTTCCTTCCAACAGCACTCTTTTTCTCCTCAAAAACCTGCAGAGCCTCAATCTTGCCTTCAATGATTTTAGGCTTTCCAAGATTCCACCAGAAATCAGTCAGTTTACTAGACTAAAGCATCTTGATATCTCTTCTTCTCAGTTTTCAGGCCAAGTTCCAGTAGAAATTGCTCACCTCCCCAAGTTAGTTTCTCTCAATCTCTCTAATTTGTTCACTTTTGATTCTAATTTTTTCGATTTGGATTCTTCTCATAAGTTGATCCTTGAAACAACTACCTTGAGAAATCTTGTTCAGAATTTAAGTGAGGTGAGAGAACTTGTGCTTTGTGGAGTGAACATGGGATCTGTTAATCCTTGTTTCTTCATGAATCTCTCTTCTTCTTTGACTACTCTTTATCTTTTGAATACTGTGTTAAGAGGAAACTTTCCAAACAGTATTCTCCGCTTTCCAAACCTCAAGACATTTGGTTTAAGTGGAAATGAAAACCTCACTATTGATCTTCCAAGTTCCAATTGGAGCAGTCCTCTCCAACATTTGAATTTAAGCCCTATGGACTGTGGAGGGCGATTGCCAGAGTCTATAGGAGATCTAAAGTCATTACAGTATCTAAGTCTTAGCTGCAACTTGGAAGGTTCCATTCCAGCTTCCATAGATGCAAGTAGGTTTTGGAAACTATGGTATCTAGACTTATCTTATAACTTACTTAATGGCACGATGCCACCTTGGATTTTCACCCTACCTTTGTTAGAGATCTTGCGACTCAATCATAACCAACTTGAAGGTCAAATAAATCAATTCCAGCAAAACTCACTTGAAGAACTGAATTTGTCAAACAATAGACTCCAGGGCTCAATTCCTAACTCAATTTCTAATTTAGTAAATCTTAGTTATCTCGATTTGTCATCAAATCATTTTTGTGATTTACTAGTATCTGACATGTTCTCGCTTCAAAATCTGGAGTCCATCATTCTCTCAAACAATAATCTTTCTCTGAGAGACAATGTCGATGCCAACCTCACATTACCCAAACTAACTTATTTTGACTTGTCTTCTTGTAACTTGAGTGAATTCCCCAATTTCTTAAGACATTCAGATGGTCTGCAAAGCCTACTGCTATCAAAGAGTAGCATTCATGGCAATATTCCTAAATGGATATGGGAAAAGGATGATCTCAGAGTTCTTGACCTTTCTCATAACAATTTAGGGGGGAAAATTCCAAATTATCTTCCTAAGTCTCTCTCAGTGCTGAATTTGCAGGGCAATAACTTTGATGGAACTATACCGTTTTGGTTTACAGAGAGCTGTGAATTAGAAAATCTCAACTTGCATGGAAATCAAATGGACGGGCTATTACCAAGGTCTTTGGTGAATTGTAGCATGTTAGAGGTTCTAGACGTTGGCAACAACAACATAAATGATACATTCCCTCATTGGTTGGAATCTCTACCACAGCTTCAAGTGCTTGTCTTAAGGTCCAACAAGTTCCACGGTTTCGTGGATAGCACCAAAGAAGGTCCATCTTTTCCCAACTTGCGAATTCTGGACCTCTCCAGCAATTATTTTGTTGGTGCTCTGCCTATTCGGTACATTGAAAATTTTAATGCAATGATGGACACTCATAGTGATGACAGTTTTCCTGAATACATGACGATGAGCAATGGTTCTTATCAATATTCACTGGTAGTGATAATCAAAGGATTGGAGTATGAGCTGCAGGGAATCTTGACCATACTCACTAGCATTGATCTCTCAGAAAACAAGTTCGGAGGAGAAATTCCAGATGTAATTGGAAAGCTTAATTCTCTCAAAGGGCTTAATCTTTCTCATAACAACCTTACTGGTCCCATCTCACAGTCACTAGGGAATTTGACAAACCTCGAGTGGTTGGATCTCTCTTCCAACGAGCTGGTAGGGGAAATTCCGGATGAGTTGTTATCTTTGACACAACTTTCCAAATTAAATCTTTCAAATAATCATCTTGTTGGACGCATACCAAAAGGCAAACAGTTCAACACCTTTGGAAATGATTCTTATGAAGGAAACCTTCGACTATGTGGATTCCCATTGTCAAAATCCTGTGATGGAATTGGGAAACTGCCGAGCTCCTTCCAAGAGAAAGATGAGTCGTGGAGATTTGGCTGGAGAGTTGTGGCGTTAGGCTATGGGTGTGGAGTTGTTTTTGGACTGCTGATGGGATATCATGTCTTCCGTACAGGAAAACCAAAATGGTTTGTGTCTTTGTTTGATGGCCGACTAAGTCAAAGTCGAAGGAAGACGAGGAAAGCCAGAAGAGTTGTTCCAAGAAGAAGCTAGTTGCCGGGTTGATGTTTAAGACCTTTTGATTAATGTTTAATGAATAAGTACTGCTTGGGTTTGAAGCTCTTGTTTTATTGTAAAATTACATGTCTGTATAAATAAATAAATATATGTCGTTTTGCGCAAAGCCATAAGTTCTCCGGGCCCAACCCT